TGACCTTGGTACAGGTCTATTGGCCCAATTTGGAGGGAGAATACAATACTTCCTTGAAGTGGTGTGCTCTGTCCGGTGCCGAATACAAAGTCCTTTATACTCATTGGCGATTTTAATGCGCATGTCGGAGAAGATGCAAAATAGAAAGGCGTGCCTGGAAAAACGACCCTAGCGACCCCAACAATAACGGCCTGAACTTATTGCGGTTTTGTGCAAACAACGGATTATCCATCGTAAACACCTTCCACGAGCATCAAAGAGTGCATCAGTACACCTGGTACCAGCAAGCTTATGCACAGAAGTCGATGCCTGATTTGATAATCGTATCGTCTGACTGAAGACGCTCGTTAATGGATGTTCGCGGTAAGAGAAGCGCACAGGCATCAATCAAACATCACCTTGCAGTTGGCACTCTGCGCTGTAAGAAATGGAGCAACATACGAAGATCTGGTGGCAGAAGCAAACATAGAATCAAATGCGAAATATTACCTTCTGGCTACACGAGAGCGATATTAGCAAACAACATAGCACGACGGTTTGAACAGATCCCAGCGATTGACCACTGATGTGGAAACGGAATGGCAGCTCTTTAAGAGCGGCTAACTCGAGCTGCCGTTCAATGCTGCGGATTTAAATGGATTGGGCTGCCGCCTTGAGGCCAAAAAAGATCTTCCTGGTGGATACGAGAGGTAAAACTGGCAATCAAAGAAAAGAAAGCAGCGTTTAAGAAATGGATTCGAAAGAAAGACTGCTCTACTCGCATGCGATATGCCGAGGCAAGCGAAAGGAGCAGCGAAAGCAGTAACGACAGCCAGAGCTAATTGCTGGTAGAAGTTCGCTGAGGTGTTGGAGTCGATTTTCCACAGCGCAAGCAAAGAATTCTGGCAGACCATCCGCCGGCTCGGAGTGAAAAGTAGGACACCCCCAGAGTCTTGAAGGCCAGATATGGACACCCTCTTACTAAGGATGATGACATTCTTCGGCGATGGAAGTTGTACTTCGAGGAACTCCTTAACCGCGCGCAAC